AACGCAGCGTTACCTGAATAAGATGAATTGAATGAAATAAGATTTCTCTAAGTTTGAACATTGTGTGTGTGTGTTTGTGTGTACCTGCTGTGTGTGTGTGTGCAGCAGCTCCACGCTGTGGTTCAGAGCTCTCAGCTGTTCGGAGGTCGACTTCAGCTGTTCGGCTGTCAGCTGATCGGACTCACACATGGACCTGCTGAGCTGCCGTAGTTTCCTGTTCAGACGTCCGAGGCTCCTCTGGTGACCGTCGCTCTGTGAACGCAGCTGGAGCACATGACCGACAGTCAGTCCCAGCATGCACTGCTGCTCACAGCGACTGTGCTGCTGACTGTAACAGTTTATTACTCACTGACAGTTTAATAATAATCAGTATTTGCCCTCTGTTTGCTGCCTACAGCTCTTACTGTAACTGTAACTGTGTTACAAGCTGATTAAGGAACATCTAAACGAGCTGCTTGCGGATACTTTGGTGTGATTAAAAAAGATAAAAAAGACATATATAGAGATATAGTTACATCTTAACTTAGCTAATGTTAGTATAATACTAGCTCACTAACGATAGATTAACTAATGAGTTGGAGTGCTTTCACTCTGTAGCAAAACACAGGAAAGGAGGAAGTTGCCCGATGCTAGCTCTGTTCTGCTCAGAAAGGCGCGGGGCTTAGAAAGGGTCAGTTGCTGAACGTCCTCTGACCTGCTGTAGCAGAGTGTCTCTCTCCTGCTGGACGTCCTGAAGCTGCAGACGGCTCTGCTCCAGCTCCGCCTCCTGCACAGTGAGTACAAAGATAATCACTTCTGAATAAATAAGGAATTTAAACTTAGTCTGTTGACAGCATGCTGCACTGCTGAACTAGACTCAGCTGATACTGACCAGTTTGTGCTGAATGAGTCTGTTTCTGCTCTGGGAAGTCTGCAGACTGACTCTCAGTTTCTCCTGCTCCTCCTTCAGCCTCCAGTCCGAGTCCTGCTCCGCGCCATAGATCACCTCGGCTTTCAGCTGGGCTGCCTGGGCCTGGTCCTGGGACACCTGGGCTTCCAGCTGGGCTATGTATTCTTGATCCTGGTCTAGCTGGCCCTGCAGTCTAGCTATCTGTTCCTGGCTGTGGTTATGGTCTTGTTGCAGTTGCTCCCTGCTGATCCTGGTCTGCTGGATCGCCCTGTACAGCTGATCCACACTCCTGGACAACATGTCCTGAGGACTTTAGGGGGACAGGACAGTCAGCGTTAAAACCAGGGTGCGAACTACAGAGGAGCCCAGGAGAGCTGGGCTCCTCTTAATGAGACATGAACCTAATGAAGCTAATGTATCTACAAACAACTACACATCCTACAGGCAGCGTGAGACTGCACACAGTTTCGGTGGACTACTGAAACTGAGAGAGTTGTTAAGGCGATGGATTGCTGATACATTGTGTGGGTTCGAATCCCACCCTCCTTGGTGACCAGTTCTTATTGTGCACAAAAGCATCACCAATGCATCCTCAATAATCTAATTACACTTCAAAGACAGAATATCAGGATCCAGCTGTGAAATGGTCCCTCTCAGAAACTCAAACAATGATAACTACTCTTTTCCTACACTGTGGTCGGAC